GCTATTTCGTTAAAAAAATAAAATTTCTGGTGATATAGCGACCAACGTTGGTCGCTAAAGTACAAAAAATAAATTAAATTCATGTATTTAGGGACCAAAGTTGGTCGCTAGTTTAATAAAATATATAAATTATTGAATAAAAAAGCGACCAACCTTGGTCTCTAGTTTCCAGATTTTAAAATATAATATTTGGGTTAGAGACCAAAGTTGGTCGCTTCTTAATGATTAATAATAAATAAATAAATAAAGTATTTTATATTTAGAGACCAACTTTGGTCGCCAAATTTATATTATTAAATTAATAAAGCGACCAAAGTTGGTCTCTATAGTCAATATCCGGAATATTTGGTCCATTTAGCTTAGAGACCAATGTTGGTCGCTAATTAGCGACCAAGTTTGGTCCATAAATAAAAGAGACCATCAATATAGCGACCAGGCATGTTTGGTCGCTTTTTGGTCGCTTTTGGACCTATAAGCGACCAACTTTGGTCGCTTTTTGTGGTCGTTTTTTACCGGATTTCTAGTAGTGACATGGTTTACCTAATTCTATGTTTAAGAGTAAAGTATGTAATTGACAAATGACAAGGCGTGACCTATTTAAACTCGTGAGATGCGATTTAAATGTTGACGTTTTAAGTACCGAGATATCTCCGCATACAATTTGAGAAATATTATTTATACAAAAAATAGTACTTATACACATTTAATTTGGTGTATAGTTACAATAAATTTAACATTTGACCTCAGAAATTAAATATTAAAAATGAGAATACATATACATTATCACTTATATTCATGATTTAGTAATTAAAAACTTTTACGCACACCACACGCTTATATTTATTAATTTGATATAAATACTGAAGGGAAGTGATACTATGTCTTGAACTACCATGGTCGGGAGGTCAATAAGCTAACTTGGATCAATAATATCACATGAAGGAAAGGTTTAGATTATAAAAAAGTGATTAAGGAATGCCACATTTTGATTAACCACTTAGTTTAGGAATCCTTTGGCCAACTTTAGATGCTTTAATTTAGATTATACGTAATTAAGGCCCATGGTGTGTAGTTAAAGCTTTAATACAGTGTCCTTTGCAGCTTGTTTGGATGGTTAGAATCCAGTAGCTTTTGCTCAAATAGTGTATTTGATAATTTGAATTCATGAAATATGTATAAATATTAAATTTAGAACCCAGTCATTAACACTTGAAGTCGTGGTCCCAAAATCCAGAACCCATAAGGTTGAAATCCTGGCTCCGCCTCTGGTTGTTACATATCGTTTCATAATGTATCCTATCGTATTATATGGTATTGTACTGTATCGTTTGATGAATACAATGTTTGGATAGGTTGTGCTGTTTGCCGTTGTTTTATGATATCATGCACAACAGTGTGAAGAATATACTTGCACTATTATAAAGAAAAAATTATGATACGGGGTAAAATTATTATATAAAAAGATAGGATAAATAATGAAATAAAATTATTTAATTATAATGAAGGATGAGATGAGAAAAAGAGACAAGATAATGACGCGACCACACCAAATCGGTCGTTACATAAAGTGGCACATTTCATCGTTACGTAACGACGGATTTAACGATAATATACAATAAAATTTAAGTAACAATCAAAACAAACATCGTATTTAAAGTAACAATACGATACAATTCATAGTAACAACTATCCAAACCAGAAGTTAATACCCATATACTCCAAATCTAGACTAATCTCATCTTTCTGTTTCCTAGGATTTTCTTTCTATTTTATCCTTTTTTGCAACTAATTACAAAACTGAAACCAATTATTCTAAAAAACAAACTTAAAACAATTCTTTTTAAAATCAAGTGATTATAAAATAAACAAAATCGAAACGAAAATGAAAGTAACCCAAATTAGAAAGCAATAAAGCGGCTCGGATTTAAATTCAAGAATTTATCAAAAGAACAAAAAAATGCACACGCCATAAATGTGGTTGCACATGTTTTTGTCATCTCCCCATCTCACAAACGTGTCAAAGTGAAACTTTGCTTTTTCCTCATTGTTTTAAAATACTCAATCAAAAGCCATGCCGACTGTTTCTCAAACAAAAATCAAGAAATATTACTATAATAAATTCCGCTTTAATATTTAAGAGTTGTGGTCAAATGAATAAAAAAAATTATTATTAACCAAAGATCTTGAGTTCTATATTTTTCTTTCGAAAAGTTTCTAGGTAAACACACAACCACTATCCTTCAGGTGCGCACTGGGTAGCCTGCTTACTGTGCAATAACTCACAAATTATACAGGTAAACCACACTAGGCAAACCCGATACGACGAGCTCTTACTGAAGAGGCTGCTGATGAGGGGAATCGATCCTCGATATTCTTTTTTGGTAGCAAGCATTTTTTCTTTTTTACGGATCTTACACAATACGAATATGAATTAGCTGAACTTCAACAGGAGTAATGAACACATGCATGAAACAAAAATAAAAATAAAAAAGAGGGAAGGGGGGGAGGGGGTAGGGGGGGGGGGGGGAAAGCTCATTTTTAGCTTGCGGCCGAAACTGTTTACATCTGAAAGATATTAATATGTATAAATTTGTATATTTTTTGTATATAATATTCATTTCTGTGCTATATACAAAAAAAAAATTATTATTGTCATTTTCTCAAAGCTCATTTTTAGCCTAAGGTCGAAACTATTTACATTTGGAAGACATTAACGTGTATAAATTTGTATATTTTTTTTTATGTAATATTCATTTCTGTATGCTATATAGAAATTAAAATTATTATTGTCATTTTCTCAACAAAAAAAAAAAAAGAAGAAAAAGCCCCTCAAACCAACTATGGTTAACTTCCTTAACCCTTAAAACCTATAACCATAGTTTACACAAACACATGCAGTTTGGATTTAGAGGAAACATACCCCCAATGCCCCTTCTTGTCTCCCCTATTTTCCCCTCTCTGCTCTGCAATTTTTTATTTGGAGTATTTCTCAAAAAGGGGGCAACATAAATATTTATTTCGATTGAATTTTGGCTAAAGTTGCAAACTTTGGTCTGTTTCTTGACTGCAGATACTGGTTTGTATCTCTCTTTTTTACCAATCTTTTTTGTTATATCCATATGTTCATTGTTATATCCAAGTTGCATATTCTTTCTGAGTGTTTTCTTCTTGTTAATGGTAACTTTGGGTTCCAAGATTTTGAGATCTGAATGTGGAGCTATTGAATTTTAGGAATTCAAGAAAAAGATCAAATTTTTATAAGGATAAGATAGTATTTTGGATTGGTTTATTTGTATTTTAAGTGTACTAAGTTCAACTCGTGGAGAAAAAGAGAGTCTTTTTTCAATCAAGATTCAATCTTTTTGAGTTTTAACTCATATTGGAAGATAAAATTGCAATCTTTAGCATCCGGGTATTTGTTATTATTTGGTAGAAATGAAAATAGAGATGGGTTTAGGGAATATGTTATGGAGTGATGAGGATAAAGCTATGGTTGCAGCTGTATTAGGAACAAAAGCTTTTGATTACTTAATGTCAAGTTCAGTTTCTGCTGAATGTTCTTTAATGGCAATGGGAAATGATGAGAATTTGCAAAATAAGCTATCAGATCTTGTCGAACGCCCGAATGGGGCTAATTTTAGTTGGAATTACACGATTTTTTGGCAGATTTCGCGGTCTAAGTCGGGGGAATTGGTGTTAGGATGGGGAGATGGGTGCTGTAGGGAACCTAGGGAAGGAGAAGGATCTGAAATTACTAGGATTCTTAATTTACGACTCGAGAACGAGGCTCAACAAAGGATGAGGAAAAGGGTACTTGAGAAGTTGCATATGTTGTTTGGTGGAACAGATGAAGATAACTATGCTTTTGGATTGGATAAGGTTACTGATACTGAAATGTTCTTTCTTGCTTCTATGTATTTTTCGTTCCCTCGGGGGGAAGGTGGTCCGGGGAAGTGTTTTGGTTCGGGTAAGCATGTTTGGTTATCGGATGTTATGAAGTCTTCGGTAGATTATTGTTCTAGGTCTTTTCTAATGAAATCTGCCGGTATGCAAACAATTGTTTTGATCCCAACTGATGTAGGGGTTGTGGAATTGGGATCGGTTAGAGCCATATCAGAAAGTTTAGAACTTGTTCAGTCGATTAAATCTTGCTTCTCGTCGTTTCTATCTCTTGTTAGGGCTAAGCAAGGGGGTTCTGTAACAGTTGTAGCGGAGAAAAAGGATGGAAATGGTTCTCCGTATTCCAGCTCTTTCGTAAGTGAGCAGCCAAATGGAATTCCTAAGATTTTTGGGCAGAATTTGAATTCTGGTTGTACCCCGTTTAGAGAAAAACTTGCGGTTAGGAAAGCGGAGGACAGGCCGTTGGAAATGTACCAAAATGGAAACAGGGGTCAATTCATAAATGCACGAAACGGCCTACGTGCTGCATCTTGGGCTTCATTTAGTAATGTGAAGCCAGTGAACTCGGTGGATCCCTATAGGCCTCAAGTCCCAGCAAACAACGTACGAGATTTTGTCAATGGCACAAGGGAAGAGTTCCATATAAACAACTTCCAACATCAAAAGAATGCTAGTATGCAAATAGATTTTACTAACTCAAGACCCGTTATTTCTCCAGCGCACACTGTTGAATCCGAGCATTCAGATGTTGAAGCTTCATGTAAGGAAGATCATGCCGGGCCAGCTGACGACAAGAGGCCTCGAAAGCGTGGACGAAAACCAGCCAATGGAAGGGAAGAACCACTCAATCATGTTGAGGCGGAGAGACAGCGGAGGGAAAAGCTGAACCAGCGGTTCTATGCATTGCGAGCTGTCGTTCCAAATATTTCCAAAATGGACAAAGCTTCCCTCTTAGGAGATGCCATTGCTCACATCACAGAGCTGCAGAAGAAGCTTAGGGACATGGAATCCGAGAGGGAAAGACTAGGAAGCACGTCTAGGGATGCAAATGCATCGGCTTCAGAAAGCACCAATTCAGAGACTCAAAACCGACCTGATATCAACATTGAAGCTGCCAATGATGAAGTCGTTGTAAGAGTTAGATGCGCGCTGGACACTCATCCTGTATCAAGAGTCATCGAAGCGTTCAAAGAGGCACGGGTCAATGTTGTCGAGTCAAAACTTGCTGCCGGGAATGATACTGTATATCATACATTTGTGGTGGAGTCTAGTGGATCCGAACAACTGACGAAGGAAAAGTTAATGGCTGCATTTTCTGGCGAATCAAACGCGCTACGGCCATCACCAGTAAGATAATAAAAGCATTATGTTTGACATAGTCTCTAGGCATAAAATGTAGTGGAGAATCCATTTCTTTATTTCTGCAAAGGTTTTAGTATACAACAATTCAGTTCAGGAATAGAGAATAACTAGCTATTGACAAAGTATCAGCAATTTTTTCTTCTGTATTTGTTTATAGTATATTACATGTTATTCATAAGAAAGCAAGATGAATCAATTTTGCAAGTTTAACTACCTGTTGCATTTAGGCTAGAATTTTAGTATTGTTATACCCCTCTACTATATGAAATATTTTAATTTTATCCTCTGATATACTTTTGGGTCAGTCATTCCTTTCTCATTAACAAAGTGTCTGGTATTTTCTTGGGGCAAGTGCACAGATAGTCTTTCTCAGGGATACTGTTTAGAGATTAGCCGGTACTTATTTTGTTCTGAAATTTTAAGCTAAAAATCCTAACTTCAGGATAATTCAGGACATTTTTGTCCCGAAAATTTGAACTGAAAAGTTGAAACTCATAACGTACTGGCTAATTCCTAAATAACAGTCCTTTAGAGTGACTACTTGGTTCATTTCTACTATTTTTTGTTGTCCTTAATGGAATTCCAACCGAAAGTATCACGAAGGATAATTTTAAACTACAGTCAAACTTCTCTATAATAGCCATTCACTAAAAAAGCCGAGTTTTTCTCGGAACTGAATATTATATTATGTTATAATATATGTTCTCTATAATAACACTTCACTATAACAGCCAAAAAATTTCGGAACGAACAAGGCTGTTATAGAGATGTTTGACTGTATAATCAAAAGTAGATGGGTAAATTTGACTTCTTTTTTTTGTAATAGTATTTTGAGACGTGAAATCCGTTCAATTCATGTTTGCCTCTGCTAAAAGCAGTACATATACGTGTGACAGTTGACTCCAAAGTATAACGTGATAAAAACATTTGAATGAAAGTGGAATGGTAGTAGTGGGTTGGGAAAATAGAGTTTTCAACGAGGAGAAAGTGACTAAAGTAATTTTATAAAAACGTTTTTAATATGGTAGAAATGTGTTGAGGGGTTTGTATTTGTCTTTAATTATGTACTTGACTTTTAAGATATGACCACAATTAGTACAAGTTTGGCTATAAGCATGAATGCATTCATAGCTAGTTAGCCACCTTTCATTAATATATCTCATGTTTCTATTTACGTGCCTTTTTCAAACTTTTCTTGTGATCCTATTTAATGCATTTAAGAGCACAAAATTTGTTGGCATTAGCCTGTTTTTTAAGGGATATTATTATTTTTAGCCCGCGTTAGAAATTATTTATATCTGATAGTCGAAAAAATTTATAAAATTTGTAAAATTTTTGTATATAACATACGGAATGTATATATATACAAAAAAAATATACAAATTTTATATATTATTCGGCTATTATCTTTACAGCGGCACAATATTATTTTTCCTTTTTTTAATGGCATTTAAAAGCAATGAGCACCACTTAATTTGATTTAGTGGTAAACGTGTGATGTGTAGGTTAGGCGCATAATACAAATTTGAATATTGTAGCTAGGAGTGGCAAACCGTCGGGTCGGGTCGGATATGGTTCGGGTCGAAACGGGTAATGAAAAAACGGATCAATTACCCGACCCGACCCATATTTAATACGGTTAAAAAACGGGTTAACCGGCGGATAATATGGGTAACCCATATTATCCATGACTTCTTGTATATGCTCACTTTTGGGAGAATTCTTAGTCTCCCTAACTTGAGGAACCCCAATTTGAGGCTTTACAAATGTAAAAGTTAGGCTCATTGGTTATCCATTGGTTACTCATTGATTATCCATTTTCTAAATGGATAATATGGTTCTTATCCATATTTGACCAGTTTTTAAAAAGTTTATTATCCAATCCATTTTTTAGCGGATAATATGAGTGGTTAACTGTTTTTCTTTAACCATTTTACCATTCCTAATTGTAGCAAATAAAAAGCTTGATATTTAAGCAAAGAAGGATAGACGGCACCTAAAGAAGAGCACCACGTGCATGCATTCGTTATGAAAGATAAGGTTAGGTAAATCCAATTTTTATTGAGAGATGATATAAACACTTCCTGCAATTTATTACTTCTCATGTTGTTTGTCTTTTGCACATTCCTTAAGAATCATTAATTAAATTAATAATTTGGCTAAATTATCGTAATTTATTGTTTATCCGAATTTAATACTACTCTTCCGCCCATATTATATTAATTTCTCGCCGCATTTATTAGAGTAAGGGTAAAGGTGAAAAGAATAATTAGTGTTAACTTGATTTTGTAAATGACTACTATTTAGACCAATTATTTTAGTAATCACGACAATTAAAATAGACTGGAGAGAGTAATATTTAGTACCAGACCAAATGGTAGATGCAGTTTAGGGTAGATTCAAGGTCAGAAGAGTTCTATATATCTTTTGAACTTTTGCCCATACAGATTGTTGAGATACTTCTAAACATTTTGGAAAGAAAAAGCTGATAATGTTCCAAAGATAAGCATGTGGCAGTGATAAAAGGTCTTTTAAAAGGATAAGGTACAAGCCATTGCGATATGTTTTTTTAACACAATTTATTTTCGAAAGAATTCTTTTTTAATATTTTATTGTAACAATAATTTTTATTTTTTCTTGTAAATATAACAATTTCTTAATAACTCATTCAAACACTCACAAAAAAAACAAAAATACAAAAACCTAAACAAAAAAACATAGTTATCCTGTGACTATAGATTATATACGATTATACACATAATTATATATATATATATATATATATATATATATATATTTGCGGACTATTTCTAATTTAAGCTACCGAAAATAGACTATTTGGATTAGTTCTTTATCAAAAAATGTAAAAGTGTGGACCAAACTCACCATGCAGGGACAGAAAGTTGACTATTCAATTCTGACATACATAATTGATTGTTCATGACCTAGCTAATTGAGAAGTTTTATTGTGTGTCTTATACAATTTACATCAGTTGTAAATTGTACGAGGCTTCTTTTTGTCTCATAAATTTGTGGACCTAAATCATACATTTCTGGGTCCACAAAAATTTCGGGTGCACAAAACTGTGAGACAAAAAAGATACCTCATACAACTAGTGAAAGTTGTATGAGACACAAAATAAAAAAATTCTAGCTAATTGTATACCATATGATTTTTATTTGTTTTATTTCTTGAATCAACATCAATATCATTTATCATCCAATTATATAGCTTAATCCGAATTATAAAGCTACGATACTTCTTCTTCGTAGCCTGAAATAACCACCGTTGAATAGATGAGTTTGCCTTTCAGGACCCTGCGTGAATGCAAGATATTTTGTGCATCGACCGACCTTTTACGTAGTTGATAAGTGGCAGTTTTAATTAAGATAACTCTATATTTTAAGTAAAAAGTATTAATGTATGATTTGACTGTTAGATCATGCGCAGCGGAAGCAAGCATACAACCAGGCATCAATTACATGTAAACTAGACAACGCAATAATAATGAGATCAGGAACACTAACCTCTTGAAATAGTTGCACAAATTCTCCAAGCAGCAAGAATCCAGGGTTGTAGTCTTCTACTATATGCCTAGTAAAACCTTGAACACTTTTGCTTTTGGGTGGGCAAGAACAATACAATTCTAGGGTTAGTTAATAGGAGAAACCTGTCTTCCTCTTTTTGTACACGAAATTAAGCCCTAAAAATAGGCTTAAAATCGTATGGATCAGGATTCTATAATTAGAATCCTACTCCAACTCAAAAAGGTAACTTTTCTCCCAAGCTACTTTTTTACCCAAGTTTGTCCAGGTTATTACTAGGTATAGCAGGGACCACAGAAATAATAAGAGGCTACTAATTATAGTATTAATTCTAAATTGGCATGAATTAATTCTTACTATAATTAATTGCAATTTATTCCACTAAAAAAATTGTAATTGAACTCCTCAATATGAATTTCGAAAATTCATTAACACTTATTTTAACCCCCCATGTTAAGATTTCAAATACCAGTTAATTAAATTAAATCACTGAAAATTTAATTCAATCAACTAATTAAATCCTTTATAATTCCGCTTAAACTATCTCATGTGACGGATACAAAATCCACCGGCCGGGTTTTCACATGAAAACTTATAAGCTTATATAAAGGGGTATTATCAAACCCAAAAACCAAGTCATGGATTCTATCAACTAATTATTATTCACAAATGTTATTTGTTATTGTCCAATTTATTAGGCATATACTAACTCTAAATAGAGTCGTACCTTTTGATAAATCAAAACAATAAACAAATTACATTGATCATAATAATTATATCAAGATTAGGAGTATAAGATCATTTAATGAATTAGAGAAAGTGTTTTATATGTATGCAGTACAAAAATACCTTTTCTCTACTTGGTCCGTTCAATATACACTGAGTATACTAGCACAAGAAGTTGGAATAGACTTACTCCCATAATCAAGACAAATTATACAATAATCTTGTGCTACAATCATCAAGATATTTTGTCCGATAATATCTTCGATTGTGAACATAGTTCATTAATTATGAGAACCAACAATTTAATCTTCTATGTATGAGCTAAGACTCCATACACTAAATTGTCTACTACATAATCAAAAGGACACACATGTTACAAATGATCTATTTAAAATAGTGCTTTATTGAATTGAATAAATTAAATAAACAATTGTTTCATAAAGAACAAAATATAATACTATGTCTAAACCGCATGGTTAATAGTATATCCCAATAATCTCCCACTTAGACTCATAACCATGCGTCTAATATTTTAACACCCATTCCTTCTACATGCTTGTCAAAAATCTTCTTTGTCAAGCTCTTTGTAAACGGGTCTGCCAAATTATCCTCCGACGCAATCTTCAACACTCTTGCATCACCTCTTTGTGTTATGTCCCGAATTAAGTGATATTTACGCTCAATATTTTTACTTCTTTTATGGCTTCTTGGTTCCTTCGAGTTTGCAACTGAACCACTATTGTCACAATAAAGTACAATTGGTGCTTGAACCGAAGGAACCACATTAAGCTCTTTCAGAAAGTTCCTGAGCCAAACAACCTCTTTGGCTGCTTCAGATGCAGCCACATATTCGGCTTCCATGGTGGAATCAGCAACACACGATTGCTTGATGCTCCTCAAACTTATGGCTCCACTCCCAAAGTAAAAACCATACTCATGAG